GGTTACTGCTTGGAGGGAGAGTCCCCCTCCCTACAGGAAGCCGCGATCACGTGTCACGGGAGGGAAAATGGCCAAGGATCCTGTTCGTCACCCGATGCGGAGTTCGCGAACAGAGGCAAAATTTTGCGACCGGAGCTGTTCATGAACCAAATTGTTCGTGAACAGAAGCATTCGTGAACTGAGGTACCACTGTAGTTTAAGATTGTTTCAAATACACCTGCAAAATGCTCCAAGAATGTGAAAAGTTATTTGGGTGGTTACTTTGGCTGAAATAATACAATATTCTGTACTGTTCAGAGTGGCAGTCATCTTGTTGTTTCTGTTCTTAGTAGCAACCAACCTTTGGGATTTTTTTCCTGGACTGGATTGTTGTACTGCTGTAAGAAAGGGAAGGTGAGGAGGGACAAATAGCTCCACTTTTGCAATGCCTATGAGGCGTCCTTGCTTTTGTAGGGCTTTCTTTGCTGGAGCGACTGATGCGATACAACCCATTGTATCAAAAGATGAATGGAAAGTACGACTCACGGTTTGTCACTATGCTGCTGCGCAATTACAGGTATGCTTCATGCTCTAACTTGAAAATTGCAACAGGTAGAGCACAAAAGGTCTAGTATGTCTGATGGCCTCTACCTGTTAAAATCAAAACTAAGTTTTGCTTTGCTGCAAATCTCTCAGTGACATTGGTTGAATGAGTGGGATTTCTATGTTGTATCTTTCCCAGTGATATTTTAGAATAATAATTGCACCCCATGGTCTGAGGGAGGTTTCTTTTTAAAGAAAAAACTGCATGTAAAGAGAGCGTTGTCCAAATAATACATTGAAGAACTGCCAACTGTTAAGTACAATATTCTTGCTGTTAAAAAAATCAGGTAACGTTATAGGTGCCTGGGTGACCAGTACCATGTAGCTTTTACAAAACTCTCTGTTCACCCAAAACACAGAGCTTGGTTTGCCAAACTTAGTTACTGAATTATCTGGATTCAATTCACATTAAATCATAAACTAACCAGACTGAGTTCAGCTACAACAAACTAACCAAGATTAGCATGTTGTGCAAATGGAACAGGTAGGACTTCAATTGACCTATATAAGTGTGTTGTCTGAAGCCAGGTAGGCAGAACTATAAGTGCCTTGGAAAGAATACAGCTTTTTAGCATGTAATCTCAGAACATTTATATTACATATTGAAAGCCACTGTGCATTTCATGTACACAGTTCTGTCCTGTACTTCGCTTAATCTTCTCCACAGATATGCTTATGAAGCAGGCTCTACTTTTCCAGTTTTGTAGTTGGGGATTTTCTCTGATAGACTTGACCATGCTATCCAGAAAGCCTGGAGTAGAGCAAGAACTGGTAGCTAGGGTCTTCAGATTCTAATCTGTGGTAGAAGATAAAGGAAACAGGGTCTTCACCATCTTCTCTCTTGTAAGCTATTCATGTTTGTCTAAATGCTAAAAGTTCAGTCTTCAATCCCAGGTCTCATGCTGCCATCCTCGAATTCCCCAATCTTAAATTCTATGATGGAGCGCTCAAGGAGTGTGCTGAACACTTAATTACTCATTCCTACTGCAATTGGGAAGAACTGGTCACTAAGGTGAGGAGCTGCAGGCATTGAGGAGAACCACATCTGCATAATCATGTACATGCATTGTGAAGAAGAAGTGGTGTTTTTTTTTTAATTTTTCTTGCAGGAATTTCCCATCATCTTCCATGGGGTTTGTGGGGAAGACCAGCGAGAAGGGAAGAGCCCTTCATTTTTTAATACTGCTGAGATTAGCGTGCTGATTGGTTATCTCAAAAAACTTCTGGAAAATCAGGGCAAGGGAGGACAGCCCAAAATTGCTCCCAAAGAGATTGGTATCATCACCCCATACAGAAAGCAGGTGAGACCTTCCTCTAGTTTCAGCTGACTAAACTAGACTCTTTCCTTTCAGCAGATGTAAACTCAGAGTTTCTTCACATGGTCAAAATGATGCAACCAGAAATTTCCTCAACTGCTTCCATGCCTATGATTTTGAAGAGAATGTAGTATGTAACATAAACTACAGCTTACAGCCATGGCATCAGAAATACCTCACACATCTTTCAGTTATTCTAAACATGGGATTTGTTTTGACAATTTGCAACTAATAAACTTGGGCAACCTACGTTATACGTTATGTTCTCTATATGTATGCTCTGAATAGTACTACAGTACCATATAACAGCACACATTAGATTTTTTTGTAGCAGATACTAAAATGTACAATAGTCTTAAAGAAGTTATGCTTCAATATTGCAGGAAAAATGCTTAGATGGACTGGAAGTTAAAAGATAATTGCTTTGTGCTGCTTCCTTTGCTCCCAACATATAACACTGAAAAAGAAAGCATTGTCTAGACATGTACATATTTCAATTGAGATAAAGGAAAAAATGTTGCACATCTGCATTGTCCATAAAGTCTCCTTAAAGAAAAAGTCA